ATTTTCCCCCCTGCACCTTTTTTTTTTTTTTTTGAGAGATTTTCGCTATAGGGCGCATGCGCTCGTGAGAGAGACATACAGACAGAAAGCGAGAAATCACCCCCCAGGGGGGATGGTCACGCTGCAATCCCTTCTCCTCTATTCTCCTCTTGGGATCTTGGGCACGCACGCACACGCACCCGGCGTGAGTTTTAAGTCACTGGGTCTGGGATGTGAACCGCGGTCGACTACGTGGGAGTCCAGGGACATAGCCATTACACTAACTGCTGGTTCCTGTACCCTTAACCTTTCTACACGTGTGTTGGAAACTGATCCAAGAAAGTATTTTTTTACTAGCACAAAAACATGCATACTTCACAGTTCAAAGCCATTCTTGTATATCCTACTAACTCTTCTACACTAAAACTAGGAGGAGAAACAGTTCATTTAAAACAAAAAATTTTAAAAAGTAGAAATACTACAGAGCAACTGTAAGAACACATCATGTTTAAATATTTCCTCAATCGTAAAAATTTAGTTTTAATTCTACAGGTAATTCAATAATCAGGTTTCAAATAGTACATGTAGTATTAAGTTACATTACTATGACCTTTAAAAGTGAGAAATTAGAATTAAAAGTAAAACATAAAACATGAGCTCAGGGTGCTAGAAAGAAAACTCTGGGAAAAAAAAAAAAAAAAAAACTGATAATTTTTAAAAGGACATACTTAACCCAGACCATTCATCATCGATATAGGGTTGATTACGGCTAACATCCCACTGATAATCAGAAGTGGTAGACTGAGAAACTGGCTCAGCAGTAGACCCTTAAATAAAAAACGAATGCAATAAAATTAAAAATGGAATTTCCTAATGGTGCTTCATAACAATAGTTTTATACTTTGCACGCAGAGGCTTTATTTTTTAAAAATTTCTCCTAAAAGGAAAAATTCAGACATTAGAAAAGGACCTAAGTTAAAAGGAAAGATAGAATTGAGGCTTATTTTAGATTAAGTATGAGAATCACTTGATCTAATTCATCGATCATAAATGTATTTTTCCCCTAGTATTAATCTATTATTTAGGTTTTGTCTTTTGTAATATATACTTCAAGCTAGTTATCTACAAATTTCAAGAAGTCAAAAAAGTTGTTCCTTTTTCTTCTTAATGAAAAATAGTAAAACATGAAAGAAATGCCATTACTGATCATTTTAATCCTGGATATTTCAGAGTATGCCTATGTCCTTAGAATCTTGAGAGAACTTGGAAATGTTTGAATTAGTTAGAATCTTTTGACTAGAAAGTTAAAGAAATAGTTATATGACTATCTGGAGAGGTGAGGTAGTGAGAAGCCAGAGAGACGAGAGCTGCTGTATGTAAGAGACCAAGTTTAGGTCATATTATATCTTTCTTTCACGAGGGGTAGGGGAGTAGTGAAGAGTGTGTGTGTGTGTGTGTGTGTGTGTGTGTGTGTGTGGTGTTCACATAGTCCTTTAGGAATCTGATAAAAGGTGGCCTACTGTCCAGAACTCAATGACAATTTTGCAAACAGTTCTGGTGTCATATGAGCTCATGGATACCAAATCGAAAACCCTTGCTCTATAGCCATAATTCATTAGAATGTAGATATAAAGCCGTGGTTCTCTATGTATGCAAGGAAGAGGAAAGGAGGTCTTCAACAAGTTCATGGAAAATGTGTATTATGAAAAAACTATGTATGGATTTCAATTTATTTTTACACCAAAATAAATTCATCCTTTAATTTCATTTTCCACTGACTTTCTGAAGTCTCCTTGCATGCATGGATGTGTGTATGTGTGCATCTTCCTCATATCAGAGTTCTTAGGGGTCTCTGCTACTCACTTTGGATTGAGAACCACTGACATAAAGAAATGGCTGAGAAAGGATACCTGGTTAGTATAAAAGGCAAACAACCACTGTCTCCAGTGGAGTCCTTACTAATGTATAAACTTCCACTTAGTTGTACATTAGCATCCCACTAATTATGGTAACTGGCTGATATATGTGTACAATAATGATATATTTTCACATAAATGTTAATAGAAGAACCCCACAAAACTCATGTATAATAATTAGCAGATCAACTGCTTAGAAGCACTACTGTAACACTGTTGCTATTCCTTTAGTAGCCTGTGCTGCTTTCTCTGAATATATAAAGAAAAGAGCATTTGTTTTGTAAAAAGTCACCAAATGAGGAAAGCAATTAACTTGTACCTCTGAAACGGAAATGTGGCCTCTGAGACAAGGGTTTGGTAAACTGTGACCCATGAGCCAAGTTTGACCACCCTGTTTTTTATATGGTCCATGAGCAAAGAACAGTTTTTACACTTTTAAATGGCTGAAAAAAATTAAAAGAATATTTTGGAAACAGGCATAGTAATTTGCTTATATATTGTCTCTGCTGCTTTCTTTCCTTTTTTTGGGAGAGGTTTTTGCTACAGGGCACCTGCACTCACCAGACAGAGACAGACAGACAGAGACAGAAAGCGAGAAATCACCCCCCAGGGGGGATGGCCACACTGCAATCCCTTTTCTTCCATTCTCCTCTCGGAATCTTGGGCATGCATGCACATATGCCTGGCATTGAGTTTTAAGCCACCGGGTCCAGGACTTGAACCACAGTCGATTACATGGGAGTCCAGCGACACAGCTAGCCATAATTCATTAGAATGTAGATATAAAGCCGTGGTTCTCTATGTATGCAAGGAAGAGGAAAGGAGGTCTTCAACAAGTTCATGGAAAATGTGTATTATGAAAAAACTATGTATGGATTTCAATTTATTTTTACACCAAAATAAATTCATCCTTTAATTTCATTTTCCACTGACTTTCTGAAGTCTCCTTGCATGCATGGATGTGTGTATGTGTGCATCTTCCTCATATCAGAGTTCTTAGGGGTCTCTGCTACTCACTTTGGATTGAGAACCACTGACATAAAGAAATGGCTGAGAAAGGATACCTGGTTAGTATAAAAGGCAAACAACCACTGTCTCCAGTGGAGTCCTTACTAATGTATAAACTTCCACTTAGTTGTACATTAGCATCCCACTAATTATGGTAACTGGCTGATATATGTGTACAATAATGATATATTTTCACATAAATGTTAATAGAAGAACCCCACAAAACTCATGTATAATAATTAGCAGATCAACTGCTTAGAAGCACTACTGTAACACTGTTGCTATTCCTTTAGTAGCCTGTGCTGCTTTCTCTGAATATATAAAGAAAAGAGCATTTGTTTTGTAAAAAGTCACCAAATGAGGAAAGCAATTAACTTGTACCTCTGAAACGGAAATGTGGCCTCTGAGACAAGGGTTTGGTAAACTGTGACCCATGAGCCAAGTTTGACCACCCTGTTTTTTATATGGTCCATGAGCAAAGAACAGTTTTTACACTTTTAAATGGCTGAAAAAAATTAAAAGAATATTTTGGAAACAGGCATAGTAATTTGCTTATATATTGTCTCTGCTGCTTTCTTTCCTTTTTTTGGGAGAGGTTTTTGCTACAGGGCACCTGCACTCACCAGACAGAGACAGACAGACAGAGACAGAAAGCGAGAAATCACCCCCCAGGGGGGATGGCCACACTGCAATCCCTTTTCTTCCATTCTCCTCTCGGAATCTTGGGCATGCATGCACATATGCCTGGCATTGAGTTTTAAGCCACCGGGTCCAGGACTTGAACCACAGTCGATTACATGGGAGTCCAGCGACACAGCCATTACGCTAACTGCTGGTCCCTCTGCTGCTTTCTTGTTACAATGGCAGAGTGAGTAATTGAAATAGACAGTTTGGCTACAAAACCCAAAATATTTACTATCTGGTCTTTCAGAGAAGAAAAACCTGCTGACCCCTTTCTAGGCTAGTAATTCCAGACACTGCAACTACACAAGTAGGAAATGAGGTCCAAGAATTCTAATGTGAACCAAGTATTGAAAACTGAACAACGTCTCCCACACTTGTGTCATACCTGTTTTATACATATAGCTTCTATATAATTAGTAAAAGGCATATCCATTTAAGTAACGCTCAATTGACAGATAGTTTATTAGTAATAGTGTGTTTTCCAAATGAAAAGATACTCGAAGTAGAATTCTTGTGTAGGAGTCCACAAACCTGAAAGGCTCAGTTATAAACTCTGAAGACTAGGGTGAATAAAGGTAGAGTGCCAAACCACCTAGAAACATGTAGGAGGGCACACGGAGCAATAGGGTACAACTGACGGGTAGGCGTCCGCGGCCACCAGTCTGTGTGCCAATGAACAGTCAGTGGTGTTAGGCCACACAATCTTCCTTACCCTGCCATTTTTAGGTCTATTATTTATGTCAATAGCAGTACTTGAGGCTGACTGTTTTTTCAAATAACAAGTACTAAAATTAATTTAAACAGAAATTTTTTGTTAACTAAACAAAAGACTGTTTTCACATACCAGAAACAGCAGAGTTAAGTGTGAGAGATGCAAAAGAAGCAGAATTCTGTTCAGAGGTATTCATTCCCCTATCCACACTAGACCAAGCAGCTGTTAAAATAAAGAACGTCACTTGGAACCTTTGATTTGCAATTAAACTCGAAAGATATGTACAGATTTAAACTATGATAACAATATGCAAAGGTAACCTTACAAATGAAGACATTTAATGTAGCAATAGCTACTATTTCCTGAATGTCTATTATGAGGCTGTGGCCTATACATCAACTACTTTTAACCCTTACAACAATTCTGCTAGTAATTTCCGAGCAGTTCAAGGACTTGCCAATAGTCAAAACAGCTGAACCATGATTGCAGCTTCCAAAGTCTATACTCTTTCCACTATACCAAGAGTTTGCTTCTTAAGGGAGTTAGCTTTTTAAAAAGTGATGGGAAAAGCTAACAACAAAGGAAGGAATAGATCTTGTTATCTATCACAACTAAGCACTACCTTGGGCCAGGCACCACACTTGGTACTTGATATTCACTATAACCAATTCTCACCACTACTTAAATATAAGGATCATAGAGATTAAGTAACCAACGGCACATCCATAAAAGCTAGGCATGTGGAAGACTAGGAATTCACATCTAATAGGTCTGTCTTAACTAGCGCATTTTTGTTCTACTATATCATACTGTCTCATTTTCAAGACATTTCTTTCCAATATTTGAGTATTTTCAGGATCATATACCTCTATGAGATCAATCACACCTGCATCTTTTCAGTGCCATTTTGCAGACCTAATATAATATACAGCAGTTCGTTTTCAATTTCAACAAAGGTTCTAATCCATCCAGGCAGGAACCTCTAATTTACTGCCTAATTATATCCTAAGCAATGGTAAGTAAGTACCCATCTAATCTATGTCCTAATTATAAAATGCTACATAGCTTCTAAGTGAATTGCAAATATTCCAAAAGGTCATTGTTTCTAACATTATTCCATAAAACTCGACCACTTCTTATACTAAATATGAAAGGATGCTTTACAATACAGAAATTCATGTTTTTTTCTTTTATGAAATGAGGATAGGAATTTAGGGAATGTCTTTTTCAAATAAATTTTAATATTTCTTTTCTTTCTTTTTTAACTTTCCTATAGGGCACGTGAACTTGCTGGAGACAGACAGAGAAAAAGAGAAAGGAGTGAAGGAGGGAAAGTGAGAAGCACCTCCCAGGTGGAATAGCTACACAATCCCTTCTCTTCCATTCTCCTCTTGGGATTTTGGGCACACATGAACACATGCCCAGTGTGTTTTAAAAGCCACCAGATCCAGGACAAACTGCATAGCCAACTATGTGGGATCTAGCCACCTTAACTACCATGCCACTGACTGGTCCATAAATTTTGATATTTACATAAATTCTGGACATGTAGGAGAGTTAATTAAGTAAGTTTAAGAACAATATTAGTAAATGAACTACAGTTTGCTTCTTAAGGGAGTTAGCTTTTTAAAAAGTGATGGGAGGGGCCAGCAGGTGGTGTGGTGCTAAGGGCACTGGACTCCTACATGGCTGACTGTGGCTCGAGTCCTGGATCTGGCAGCTTGCTTTTCTCACTTTCTCTCTCTCTCTCACTCTGTCCCTCTCTGGTCAAGTTAAAAAATAAATAAATAAAGTTAAATAAAATAATTCTTTAAAAAAAAAGTGATGGGAAAAGCTAACAACAAAGGAAAGAATAGATTTTCCTACTTAAATACTAAAAACTTTCTAGTATCCATTGCTCAGATTAAAATAAACAGAAATAGCTGTAATAAACACAACAGAAAAAAATGTATGTTTAATGCACAAGAAATTATAACTTGATTAAAAGAAAAAATAGTAAGAGGGCATTAGACGAATGGGCAAAGAACAAGAATAGACAGTTCATAATAGACATAGAAATGATCAAGAAACTTGTGGAAAAATATTCAACCTCATTAATGATTTTAAAGAGTTAACTAAAACAATTAATGAAAAAAAAAATTAAGATAAAATATCCAAGATTGGTAAGCATATGATAAATGGACATTTTTTTTACTAAGAGTATCAATAGAAAAATCATCTTAGAAAGTTTGATAATACGTAGTAGAGCATTATAAACATTTCATATTCCCTTTAGCCCAGTATCAGTTTTACAAATCAATCCCAAATAAATAATCACAAAACAAATATATTCTATAAAACAATATCTACAATAGTTTAAGAAAGAAAAATTATTTCTCTAATAATGTGGGAATAGCTAAGTAAACTATGCTATACTTACACAACAGATTACAGGGATGTTAAGTAAAAATACAAAGAATAAGGAAAATGTTTCTGTTGCAATGTTAAGTGTGTGTGTGTGGGAGGGGAAGAGCATACAAATGCACATCCAATTTGAGTTATTCAAACAACTACAACACTATTACATGGAAGGAGGGAGGCATAAAGAAATAAAAACTAACAGTGGCTATCACTGAATGGTGCATGCAGTCGATTTTTTCTTATCTTTTTTTGTAGTTTTCCACATTCAACATAGTTTCTTTTTTATAATCACACACATCTGAAAATTATGTTGTTTTTAACTTGATAAACTTCCATTGAAAAAAGCTTCTCAAATACTCATCTTTACCATTAAAATCTAGGGGACAATTTAATTACAAATAAGCATTGTACAAATTGTAACCTATAAATGGGTATTATAAATTATATTTCACTTACTATGTCTATTGTGATTTAATAGTTAATAAATCAAAGAAATTATGAAAAAGTCTGCTCACACTTTACATTTATCACATGACTCAGAATATACAATCATACAAATTAGCTGCACAGATGGACAAATGTGATAAAGTACATAAAACATAATAAAAAGAGTAAATGATAAATGCTACTTTTCACTTATTTAGTTCCCATTTTACCCCACACAAAGGAACTGAGATGAGTTAATTACTACTCATTATTTCTGCATGGCACTGCTATTTTCTCTATTAAGGAATTTTATTCCTGGAAAATTCATAACTAGCAGATTAGCAATCTGAGATGAATCTAAAATTTCCTAACAGTTCTTACCAATGCCAGAAAATATAGAACGGTCACTCCAGCTCCTTCCCCAGTCTTTTCCATTAGCATTGGCATCTCCAGGTTCCTGACTCCATGCAGATGGCTCAGTTTTCCTCTTGCCTGCAGGAGCAGGTGAAACGGAATTCCACTTCTCCTCGCCTGCACTGATCTGTGAGGAGAGTTTTATAGACTTTTCATTCCAGCTTCCTCCATTGACAGTGAGGTTTTCATTCAATCCTGAAGAAACTTAAAGAAAGGAAAATAAAGATTAAAAGGGAGTACATGATTTCTTGTTCAAACTGAGACACTTTCAAATTTCTATGCTTTTTTTCAGCTTGTATTTATTACATTTCCCTACTACTGTCCTTGAAATAGCCTGAGCTCTAAGTGACATGATCACCATTGAAGCCTCTTAAAGTGAAAAGTCTATCATAGGAACTGAGACTGTAACACACATACTGGTGATGTTTTCAACAGCAGAGTGACTTGCTCGAAGGAGGGACAACGGAGCAAACAGCAAAGTGACACATACTCTGGTATACTTGGAATACTCACCCACTAAGAATATGAAGATTTTTTAGATATTCTTTCCTTAAATAATTACATTTATTATGTAGGAAGCAGTAATTTAAAAACACATTAAAATCAACTGAGCAGTAAAAAAAAAAAAAAAAAAAGAGAGAGAGAGACTGAAGCCTCTGCCCGGAATTTCTGTAGGTGGAGCCCAGGCATCACTGCGTGTGTATGCATGCACATACACACCAATTACACAGAGGTGTGCTGTGTATATATAAGTCTGTTTCTTCATACATGTACTTTCTTAAGCTTCCTAGATGATTATAATGCATAGCCAAATAGAAAGCCACAGGCATGAAGGAAGTTGTCAGTTGTTGAGGAACAACCTAAAATGAGAAGGTGCTTTTTTCCTTTCTGAAAGTATGTTTTATTAGAAACATTTGTTTTCAGATCAGATATACCACTCTACTTAATTCAATCTTTACCATAAACGAGTAAATAATAAATATCTTCTATTTGTGAAACATGAATAACTTTAGACAGTCCATTTATTGTGATGGTGTCATGTACTTGATACTGTCAAGGAAGCAGTTAAACAAACTATAGGCACTAAAGCTGTTTTCTTAATATAGAGAGATAAAGTCTTTTATTCCATCTACAAGGGGACTTCAAAAAGTTTGTGGAAAAATAGAAAATTAAAGTTGGAGTTAATTTTGGTGCTAAAACATTTTTAAATCCATGCAGTTTTTAAATGATACGCACTTCACACAAACGTTTTGGGACGCTCCCTTGTATGCCTATATCAAATCCAAGTCCAACAAAGATCCTTCTTCTCTACCAGCTTAGGTAATAGAAGCAAGAATCAAAATTGTATATAAACTAAAAGAATGTTTTTATATATGGGAGAAAAAACTAGAACATACCCAAACTGTTGGAAGTGGGAGTGATTTTTCTTTTTATCTATTTTCCAAAATCTCTGTACTGTGACAATGTTACTGTGGTAATTAAAAATCATTTTAAATCATTTTCTTTCCTTCTGCATCATTCATGTGAGGAAAGAGACATGTATGTAAGTTTGTATTCTGATGGGCCTTCAATTTAAGTTACATGTAATTTCTCTCACCCTGAAGTGCAGAATCTCCTTTTCCAGACTTAAAGTTGCTAACTTGAACATTTAGATGAGAATCACCTGGTTGAAATAGAAATAAAATTTATTTAACACTAAGTAGGCCACTATACACATTAAATTAGGAGTAACACACAAATTAATTTTTACTTATTATCATAAGTTGCTTCTTCAAGTGCTAAATTCTTACACTGGATAAAAGTCAGTTTCATAATAAATTTTACATGTCAGTAAGGAACTGATTTATCTCTAGTTACCATATTCTTAGTGAACTAAAATGCCAACAAAGGCCCTGGAAAATTGCCCAAATATAGAGTTTGCTACTGTATAAGAGTTACCAAGATTCTAAGTAGGAATTGGAGAATTGGGCTCTGTAATTGGATTCAACTTTGCCACCTCTCAACAATACCAGCTGCCTTTTCAACAATCCTGGAAGCAAACACATCAGCTGAAGAATTTTGCCAGTATTTGGGACCAGGACTCAGGAAATACGGCAAGAGGTGTGATTACGTGGTGTAACACAAAATGCTATTTCTCTGACACTAAAATGCATAATGATCACAATGTATCAAAAAACCAGCATGACAGAATTATTCTAGCAAAAGGCATGCACAAGACAGTGAAGAACAGTTACCAACAAAAATATTAAAGCACAGCTAATAATACATGACAGTGAAAATGGGTAAGTAGAAGTCATTGCTGTACCAAGGCAATAAATTCCACCAAGTTATCAAGCAAAAAAGTAACAAGGCAAATAATGTAGTCTGGAAATAACTGAGGGGCAGGGAAATAGAAAGGTCATTAAAAAAAACCAGGGGGAAGTTAAGCCAAGGCCTTGAAACAGGTTAACAGTACCACTTTGCAGACTGGTGCCTCTAGGGTAAAAATGATGGATGGCAATGTAAAGACTACCAAGAAGCCATCAATACTGGACAGTTCAAACATCTGAAATACTTGGAAGGAAGAATATTAGCTCAAAAACCTTTGAAGTTCTGGTCTAGCTTTATCAAACATTGATAGTATTCTTAAAAAGCTGGGATGGTAAGAAATCCTGATAGACTCTGCGGTAACCAGAACGTGCTTGTTTTATCTTGGAATGAAAGTGCCCAACATGCAGAATGGTGATAAGTAATTTCATTCAATAAATGTCTTAACCACTGTAAGAAATGAAGATGGAAGCAAGAGAGCTGGGGCAAAGCAATACACACGAGGAAAAGAGGCAACATCATTTTCTCATGTGACTCAATGCAAAAAGACAAATTTTAACTTAACAGGCCATTCGTTAGGCAATCTGTAACAAGTAACATTGCTGGTATTAGGTAAACTAATACATGGTTCACAATACTCTCACGAAGAAGGGTATATCAGCACAATGATAACAGTTCAAAGCAGTCAGATTTTGATGAAAGGTATTTTGTACATCTGATTAAAAAGAGTTTGATTTGATGTACCACTCTTATGTTCCACTAATATACCTTTATTCTTCTTGGAACCAACAGGAAATGATGCAGTTGTAAGTTGCTCGGTGGTAACTGTGATGGTATTTTCTATCCCAGGGATAGTTGAATCCAATGAACCAGAATCTGTCAGCACCTTATCACGTTTACGCTGCTGTCGTTTCTCTCTGTGACTAATTTTAGTTTCCCAGGCTCCTGACGTAGCCCCAGAAAAAAAATGTTATTCAGTAAGGGGAAGACGAAAAAGCTGTAGTTTTGGGGGGGACATGGGGTGGGGCACAGAAAATAGCATGATGAATGTAGATATTAAGCTAAAAACCAAGAGTGCTAATTATATTAATTTACCCTAAGAATTTATTCTAATCTCATTATGTTGTTTCAGAAAACAAACTGCAATGATTTATTCTGGCATTTTTTTTAAAAATCAAATCTGTCATCTATGATTTAGGAAAAGTGGTAGTTTATCTTTTTACCTTGCTGGATAGATATGATAGAAGTGCTAAGAGAATGTTATATATAACAGGTTTATTAAGTGATATAAGAAATGGCTTAGTTAAGAATTGTGTATACAGCCTTATAAGAATGGTATATTTAAGAACAATGAGGGGGGAACTAACTACTTCTAGTAAAGAAAACCAAGACAAGTGGCTTTTCAATTGCTCAAAAAATTGAACTAGACCTTAAATTTCAAGGCAGTTTCCTTCAGGAACAACACTATTATATCCTTAAATAATTTAGATTACAAAAGTGCTTCCTAGCAACATCACACATTTATAAATTAAAATCTATAATAATTAAAAAGAGCTAGGTACAAAATTAAAAAAGAAACAAATGCAGCCTTTATATAATACACTTAGTAAGAAAGGACTAGAAGATTTTCTACAGTCCTTTCCCTCACTCAAGTACCTTCATCAACTTCCTTTCCATCATGGCGTGAACTGTTTTGCACTGCTTTAGCATCTGACTTTGATTTCTTCTTATTTTTCTTTGACTGAAAGTAAAATAGAATGTTACTTAGTATTTCATTCTGTTTTTGAAAATGTAGGAGTCAGAAAAATACATAGTAAAATGTATGATGCTGACAGCTAAAAAAATGTAGTAAGTTTGATTTAAAAACTTAACATTAAGTGGCAATAATAACACTATAAGGTTATTACCATTTATTGAGTGGTTACTTATGTGCTAAGTATTTTATACTCATTATTTTTTTTGAAGAGGTTTTTGCTATAGGGCGCGTGTGCTCGCCAGACAGACAGAGAGAGACAGAAAGTGAGAAATCACCCCCCAGGGGGGATGGTCACGCCGCAATCCCTTCTTCTCCATTCTCCTCTCGGGATCTTGGGCACGCACGCACACGCGCCCGGCGTGAGTTTTAAGCCACCGGGTCCAGGACATGAACCGCGGTCGACTACGTGGGAGTCCAGCGACATAGCCATTACGCTAACTGCTGGTCCCTATACTCATTTTTTTAAAAAAAATTTACTCTTGGGAACCAGCAGTTAGCCTAATGGCTATGTCGCTGGACTCCCACGTAGTCGACCGCGGTTCATGTCCTGGACCCGGTGGCTTAAAACTCACGCCGGGCGCGTGTGCGTGCGTGCCCAAGATCCCGAGAGGAGAATGGAGAAGAAGGGATTGCGGCGTGACCATCCCCCCTGGGGGTGATTTCTCGCTTTCGGTCTCTATGTCTCTCTCTGTCTGTCTGGCAAGCGCACGCGCCCTACAGTGAAAATCTCTCCAAAAAAAAAAAAAAAAAAGAAAAAAATTTACTCTTTAAAAAAACTTACTGGAGAATGTAGTAACCTCATTTTAGATGAGGAAATGGAGACAGTGATTTTAAATATGAAACAGGCTGCACTGTATCACATTAAATTAGTAAATTAAGTAAAAATTGTAACTAGATTGCTGTTCTTCAAAGTTTGTTTTCTTCTATATTATGCTATCCTAACTTACATCATAAATAAGGTACTGTAATATAGTGTCTTCAGAGCAATAAATCTATTTCCAGGGCCAGCAGGTGGTGTGGTGGTTAAGGCACTAGACTCTCACATGTCTGACTACAGTTCAAGTCCCAGACCTGGTGGCCTGCTTTCTCACTCCCCCTGCATCCTCTTCTTTCCGGCAAGCACATACAAAATTAAAATAAATAGGGACCAACAGATGGTGTAACGGTTAAGTGGCTGGCCTCTCATGTAGTTGACTGCAGTTTGAGTCCTGGACCCAGTGGCTTAAAACTCACACTAGGCATGTGTGCCAGCATGGCCAAAATCCTGAGGGGAGAATGAAGAAGAGATTGTGATGTGGCCATCTCCCCTGGGGCGGGGAGTGATTTCTTGCTTTCTTTCTCTCTCTCCAATAAGTGCATGTGCCCTAAAGCAAAAATTGTTCTAAAAAAATAATAAATAGGGGCCAGCAAATGATGTAATGGTTACATCACTGGACTCCCATGTGGTTGACCACGGTTCAAGTCCCAGACCTGGCAGTTTAAAACTGACACTAGGTGTGTGTGTGTGTGTGTGTGTGTGTGTGTGCCCAAAACCCAAGGAGGAGAATGGAGAAGGAATTGCTGTGTGGTCATCTCCCCCAGGAGGTGATTTCTTGCTTTCTGTTTCTCCTGCGAGTGCATGTGCCATACAGCAAAAAATTTTTCTTAAATAAATTATAAAACTAAATAAATAATTCTTTGGGGGAGGGAAAGCAACCCATTGTCAATGTTTAAAAGAAAATAATGTACCGGGACCAGCATTTGGCATAATGGCTATGTCGCTGGACTCCCATCCAGTCACCGTGGTTCAATTCCTGGACCTGGAGGCTTAAACTTTTGCCGGGCATGTGTGTGTGCATGCCCAAGATCCTAAGAGGAGAATGGAAGAGAAGGATTGTGGCGTGACCATCCCCCCAGGGGGGGATTTCTCACTTTCTGTCTCTGTCTTTTTCTGTCTTTCTGGCGAGCGCATGTGCCCTATAGCAAAAACCTCTTCAAAAAAGAAAGAAAAGAATGTACCAATTCATTGGTCTCAGGATTACATAAAGCAGATAGTTGATATACCTGTGTAGCAAATTAGTCAAACTTTACAAAGTAGGTAGTATTTGTCAGTTTTAAAGCAATGTGAAACATGTAGAATTTATATTTAACAGATACTTAATAATTCAATAAAGATAAAGTATCTATACACAAGATACAGATACTTTGAAATAACCTTTCAACTTCCTTTTGCTAAGCTTATTTTCTCCATTCAAATGCTTGCTAAAAACTTCACATTCTATATTTAGATACTTCCAGAAGATAATTAACTTTAATAAAATGTCTTTTTATTATACTGTATATATGCTCATCTAGCTATTATTGAGATTGGCTGTGTATATATATAATTGTGTATTATCTAAAATTAAGTTTACAACTAAATAGAGAGATTATATAATAATTATAAACCTTTTTTATGAGTAATTTACTAAATGACAGCTAATTGCTTTCCCTATCAATAAACAACTTGTAAAGATTCTCAAGTGGCATGATCTCTTAAAGATCATTAGATTTTTTTTTTTTTTTTGCGAGGGAGAAGTTTTTGCTATAGGGCACATGCACTCGCTAGAAAGACAGAAAGAGACAGAGAGACAGAAAGTGAGAAATCACCCCCCAGGGGGGAATGGTCACGCCGCAATCCCTTCTCCTCCATTCTCCTCTTGGGATCTTGGGCACACATGCACACTTACCCCGTGTGAGTTTAAGCCACTGGGTCCGGGATTCATGCCTTAGTTGACTACTTGCGAGTCCAGCGACGTAGCCATTACACCAACTGCTGGTCTCTATTAGAAAATGTTTTTGACATGAGCTGTGTAAGAAAACTATTTTAATAAGTTTTTACTGTCTCCATAACTAATTTACCTTTGCATCTTTTCATTAACAAGTAACATGTTTAATACACTCTCATAAATCTATCAAATCAGGCTCATATCCATTATTTAAAAACTTGGGACATTGCCAGCCAAGAGGCATGGTGATTAAGGCAACTGGATCCCACATGTCTGACTTAACAGTTTATGAGTCCTGGAGACCAGCAGATGGCATTATGGCTATATTGCTGGAGTCCCATGTAGTTGGTTGTGGTTCTACTCCCAGACCCTGTGGCTTAAACTCATGCCAGGCGCATGTGTGTGTGCCCAAGATCCTGAGAGGAGAATGGAGAAGGGTTTGCAGCACAGGCACCCCCAGGGGATCATTTCTCACTTTGTCTCTCTCTTTCTGGTGAGAGCATGCACCCTATAGCAAAAACCTCTCCAACAAAACAAAACAAAACAAAACAAAACAAAACAAAACAAAACAACAGTTCAAGTCCTGGACACACTGGCTTAAAATTCACACTGGGGGGGGGGAGAGGAGAGGGCACATGTATGTGCATGCCAAAATCCTGAGAGGAGCATGGAAAAGGGATTGTAGCACAGTCATTCCCTGGGGGGTGTTTTCTCACTTTCTTTCTCTCCCCCTCTCTGTCTCTTTCTAGGGAGCACACACACCCTCTGATAAATTAAAATAAATAAAAGGGTAAATGGGGAAAAAAATCCTGAATTTCTTACTAAAAACAAAACTCCCCAGGGCCAGCAGGTGGCATGGTGGGTAAGGCCCTGGATTATTACATGGCCAACTCTGGTTCGGGTCCTGGATCCAGTGAAAGTCATGCCAGGCACATCTCTATGCATGCCCAGAAGCCCAAGAGGAGAGCAGAGAAGGGATTTCGGCTTGGCCATCCCCTGAGAGGGATGATTTCTCACTTTCCCTCTCTCCAGAGAGCACATGTACCATGTGGAAAAAAACTAAAAAAACTCAAAGAACAACAACAAAATAACCATTCACATCCCATAACCACCACCTATTTTTGTGCACAGTTCAGCAGACTTTAGTCTATCTGAAGTTTTACAATGATCATTATTATTTACTTTACCTCTGAAAAGGAAATCCTGTAACAATTAGCAGTCACTCACCACTTCCCTCTGGGAATCACTAATCTACCTTCTGTCTCTGTCTCTCTCATATCCACTCTTTTAATTTTTAAAATTTTATCTACCTATTTATTATTACTATTCAATTTTGGCAGAGAGACACACAGAGAGGAAGTTGGGGGGAGAGTGAGAAAGTAAGCCACCACACCTGGTACTCAAACTGTGTTGGCCATGTGGAAGTCCAGTCCACCATGCCACCTGCTAGTCTGTCTCGCTACATCTAACTTCAAATACAAATTCTTTAAAAAGAATTATCTGTTATTATTTTTAAATGTTGCTATAGTCAGCAGAAAGAGAGAGAGAGAAAGAGAGAGAAAGTGAGAAAACAAGTCTCCAGGTCCGGGACTCAAATCGTGGTTGGACATGTGACAGTCCAGTGCCTGAACTACCATGCCACCTGCTGGCTGCCCAAATACAAACTCTATCATGCATTAGCTGTGTGGCTTTGGACTAAATCACTCAAAACCCTTTCCCTCAACTGCTATATGGCAAAAATCCCTACTAACCTCACATACAGTCCTTTTAAGGATTAGAAAATGTGCCAGAGGACATGTGCACTCACCAGAGAGACAAGAGGAAGAGGGACAAATCATTGCCATGGGGCAAGGTCACATTGAAATGTCTTCTCCATTTCTCCACCTGGTTAGAATTTTGGGGACGCATGAATACTTGCCTAGTGTGTTTTTCAAGGTGTTGGAGCCAGAATTAAAAATATGTGGTTGGCCATGCCGGATCCAGTGCCCTTACCCATCAGGTCATGGGGCCAGCTCACTACTACTACTTTTTAAAACTGCTAAAGATGGGCTGACAGATGGCGTGGTGGTTAAGGTGCGACACTTCCACATGACAGCCTGTGGATCAAGTTCTGGACCTAGTGGCTTGTTTTCTCACTTTTCCTTTCTCTCTCTGTTCAAATTTGAAAAATAAATAAATAAATAAAACTAATAAACTAATTGTTAAAAAAAAAAAAACGAGTAAATAGCAAATCTCTCT